TGAAGGTCAGCCATTCCTTTCCTCTCCCCGTAGGGACAAAAGCATATGTGTAAAGTGAGTGGATTTTACTGTAACATCAGCTGTTCTTATGTTAGATGCATCTGATGATATACAAAATAATAGTGGAAAATATGTATTTATAATATTCATATTTTATTTTATGCACATGCTTATTGTTCTTTCTTTCTTTCTTTCTTTCTTTCTTTCTTTTCTCTACACTCTTGTTTATGTTGTGTGTCTGAAACACACTTGACAGAATATTTTACTAAATACTGTGTAGCTTTTGGATGCATGAAAATTTGATGAGAGCTCAAAGTGGTGGAAAGTAACCAATAACTGATCGTTTTAGCTGAGAATGTGTTTTTCTTTTCATAGTATTTGCACTTTTTGAGTTTGGAAGTTTGGAGTTTGATTGTGTCCAAGGTGCTAGAATGGTATGTATCTTGCCATTTCTTCGTAATTTGAGGTTCTCTATAACTAGAGTTAACCTCTGTCAAAGCCGTATGATTGTAGGCAGAGATGGGCACAAATAAATGAAAATGTATTTAAAATACAAATGCAAAATTCTGTGTGGAAAATGTATTTAAAATACAAATACAAAATTATGTGTGGAAAATGTATTTAAAATACAAATACAAAATACTGTGTGGAAAAATGTACTTAAATGCAAATTACATTCGGGGTTTTTTTAAATACAAAAAAAAGTATTTTGTATTTTAAATACATGTATCTGAAATACTGCCCATCGTTGATTGTAGGCCAATGAGCAAATTGTTGATCTTATGAAAGAGAGAGAGAGAGAGAGAATAATCAGAATTATTTTACCTTTTAAGTTTTTGATTTGGAAGATATTTAACTTCCTTCACTGAAATGTTAATTTTGTAGTCCTAATTTAGTCCTAGATTTAGCATTTACTGGCCTTGCGTTCCCTTGTGAATTTCTTAAGCGTTTTCAATTTTAGAGTAAAATAAAGTCTGTGATTAGCATACTTGAAAATATTCCATGTTTTGTTCGACAACATAAATTACACAGACTAACAAGTACAGTAAATAATGACTACAAATATCACAAGGATGTACATTTACATGCTTGACAAATCAGACAACTGTTGCAGTCCTTGAAATAGCAAATGTTTTTAAAACAGAGTTCAGAATTCAATGCTTATTGTACTTGATTCTCTCCATATGTTTTATTTTGCCTTTATTCTCAAACACATTAGTCATTGTAAAGTAAAATACTCTTTGTATATTGCCCATATTTAGGTGGAAAATGGCACACATGAATGTGCAGCCCTCAAATTGTTTCACACCAACTCTAGAACGTTAGATGTGGACAGACAGGGACAGAAGTGAAAATTCTATGTATAAAGTAAGATTCTGAAATATAGCCTACAAAATATAACACTGTCGGTGTATGGTGTTATGCAAGTTTTAAACGAGCAAAATAAACCACTGAACTAAGTGATTTTGAAGGCTTCAGATGTCCTACTGATTTTTTTTCTTGGCAGATAATCTCTTACCAAACTTTCAATCCATTCTCATCTTGAACAAAAACATCTCTGTGAGAGCTTGCTAAAGTATTTACTTTATGATGTTATTATGCCAGAGCTTTGAAGTTTCAGCGTGTGGACTGTCTGCTGAGGCATTTTTTTTAACCAGACCATCTTATTGTGATGTTACATGTGGAGTGGAGCGAAATCTATGCAGTTTGTCTATTTTCTGTCTCTCTTTCATGTTTTCCTTCTCATAGATACCCAGACATAAATATGACAAGTGCACTCATTTTCTCACCTTGAGGCAAGAGAGAAATACAGGTGTAACACCTAAACACTGCCCATTTTTGCATTCGTGATCTATAACTGCCTGTGGGGAACTTCCAGAAAGAGCGCTGGGCTCTCAAACTACTATGACCAAATGTTATAACCATCAGCATTAACCAAATACTTAATCCAAGCTCACACTACACGACTTTAAACGTCGGCAGATCGCTGTGCTGTTCAGACTACATGACTTGATGTTCTGTCTTTAAAGCCCTATTCGCACGGGATTAGTATTATCAGGGGACCTTGTGTGATTTTGAAATTACCCCCCACATTAACCTCAAAACCTTTTCAGCTTTCTCTTTCTGCAAATTGTATGGTGTAGCGATATGATGACAGCACCCAAAATACTATCAAACACTCCAACGCAGCGCCATTCTTCGCGAAAGATGGATAAAAAGGCGCACAGCAAACAAAAACCTCGAAAAATGATATGCCACCCGCCAAATGCTGGCCGAATCACAGAGATGCCGATTCGCACGGGACTAATATTAGCACAGGACCTCGGTGTTCGACGAAATATGGTAGGTCTTTTGCGGGGGAATTTTTACTTTACAAATTACAGACATGGCCGATTCGCACGGGATTAAGATCACAGACAACCTCCGCAATTATTACAAATGACTGGAGGTCACCAGGTAATACTAATCCCGTGCGAATAGGGCTTCGTTGTGGTGTTCACACACTACAGGAGCTGACAACAGCTCTGTCACCCAACGACTCTACAAACCACGTTTTGTCAGGAAAACACACGCGAGAATTGGAACGGGAATGACGCGAAACAACACGTGAAACAGGAGTTGTTTATTTGAAAATGGATGTCGGGAAGAAATTAGCGCTGCAAGCTGTTTGCTCGATGAAAAATTTTGCTCCAAACTTTTCTTTAAGCCATGTTTTTTATTTTTTATTTAAATAAATGTAATGTTTTCAAGAAACATTTCTTAATTATAATCAATGTTGAAAACAGTTTTGCTGCTTAATATTTTTGTGGATACTTCTAATTCTTTTGTAACATTATAAATGTCTTTACATTAACTTTTTAAAAAAAAGTATGCATCCTTGCTAAATAAGAGTATTTATTTAAATATATATTTTTTTTTTTTCTGACCCCAAACTTTTAAATGGTATTTAATATGTAACAAGATAATTAATCCTTACAGGCTCATATAGAAATCAATGTTAAAATAACCAAAGAATGCACAGAATTTTTTTGCGACTCCAAGCGGATGATCACCTTCAACTTATAAAACAACATTTTAAATCAAGTTTTTAAAAGTACTTCTTTCCATGCTTTAAATATTTTCATGAGAGATCGACCTTTGCACACAAGAATGGGTTTATTAGACCCCTAGACCAAAGGTAACTATATCAGAGTTGTTCTACACAGCTTTTGATTCAATTAGCATATAGTAAAAGACCTCCAATCTTCGCTAAAGAAAAACAAACAACAACAAAACAGCTACATCTAAACTGGTCTGCCAGTCTTAGCTGGTTTTCCTGTCTGGTTTTAAGCTGCGACTAACTGGCCATTGTGATAAACATTTACTTTGTTTGCTTAATTTCTTACTTGGCTGCATATAAAATGCGTATGAAGAGTCTTTTGTTGAATCATCTTTGTTACATATAGAAAGATACATCCTGAGCATCTTAACCGGTAGAAATAACTAGTTTTAGCTGGTTAGTGTAAATGGAGGGGTACTTCACCCTTCTGTTTGTTGACTCTCTTTGCAAAGAATAAAAGAAGACAGAAAAAAAAGTTGAAAAACTTTCTCAACCAATAATTTTTCCACGACACCATCCAGCTGAACAGCAGCTTGGCCATCATTGCAGCCAAGCTAGACCAGTTTAGCTAAACCATCCGAGACCAGCAAAACTTCTCAGGCTGGATCAAGGTGCTTTTTCAGAAGGGATATTGGTCCATAGTTTAGACAGTGTTTAGAAAATAACCTCTTCGACAAATGTGTCTCTTTCTCAGGACACAAACATCCATGTGTCAAGCATCACCTGCATAAACACCTGTCTGCCATTAAGTATTTGAAGCCCTTTGTTCCTCACTGTGGGTTTGCAGGCTTTTTAATAACATTCCTTTGATGGATATTGAGACAAAGGCATCAGGAGGCACAGTTAAGGGGTTTAAGACTCTTTCCTTGTCATCTCTAAAGCCATCCAACACATTGTTTGCCACTGGCACATTCTTTACTTCAGCCTCATGCAATGATAGAATGTTCTGTGAAGAAAACAGGGTGCACAAGTTCACAGTTCAGTCTAAAATGGCTTCTCGCTCCCAGCTTTTCTTTATGAGTAACCATTCAGGTAAAAGATGTGCAATGCTGCAATATATGATTAGGTTTTCTTAAAGCAGCAGGGTTTAGGAAGCGAGTACTAACTAAAGCTGAGAGTAACACCATTTGGTACTTGTCAGGTTTGTGCCCTCTTGTGGTAAAAAGAAAAACAAATTAATTCCAGGTAAAAGTTGCATGTTATCATGTCATTAGAATAAATTATGTATAGCCCTTATCTTAATCCTAGAACAGTTTCTTTTTTTTATTTCTATCACCTTTTTTCACAATTATGAAACTTGCACAAATCCTCGAGCAAGTTTATACAAAATATGTACAAGAAAAGCAAAACAAGAAAAGCAGACAAACATTTACATTATTCAGGGATTTCAGTTACAAAGACAAATGTCTGCTCTCTGGCTTAAACTGAAAACACAGCAAGTGTTTTTTTTTCTCAATTAGCAGTAGTTTCAAAACTCAAAGACTATTTTCATTGATACATTATATAAAATGAATTTATCAAACTATACTATTACGTTAAGTGCAGTTTACTGTGTAAACATATTGACCACAACAACTACTAACTTAGTTGGCATTGCTTGTCAAATGCATGGCGACTATGACAAATTAAGGCTTTGTATTAACTTTTTTTTTGTATAACACTAACTTTTTTTTTTTTTTTACAAGAACATAAAAACATAAACAAGCTCAACATTTTATCAAAAGCAAACCAATTTTAACATGCAATTAAAATAAGCTCTGGCACATACTTTTCCAAGATAACACTACTCAAAGATCCTCCTTTCCTCCATATAGAATCCATCAGTGTAGATAACTGCATTCGTTACATGAAATGTTATATATTTTTTAAATCAGGGCAACCAAGTAAATTTCACAAAAAAGAAATTAAAGGGGAAGACAAGACCAAATGTATACTGCTATTTAGAAGGAATTTTAAATAACATTAAGGTAACTAAATACTAAATGCAATACTAAAAACTGAGCACTTGTGTCTTGTGTTGTAACAGGGAAGAAATAACAGAGGATCAAATGGAGCGACCAATCACAGTTAGTGCCAAACAATAACAAGCAAATTAAATTATTACAGTGATTTGCAGATTTCATATACATTTAAACGTATTTAAATGTTATGGGCAGGAATTTAATTATTTACTTGTGCTCAACCCCTGCTTTCCCCATCCTAGATCCTTATGTATATTAGAGGCAGATAGCGATTACATTGTCCTAAAACTGGTGCAACAAACAATGATTTTCATATTTAGTGTTAATAGAGCTAGACATATTGAACATTGTTATCTAATCTAACCCAAATAGCTGAAATCAAAGGGGGAATCAAATTATATTCTGTGTTCAGCAATATATACCCTATTACTAATACAACTGTTTTCTGATCCTGGACCAGTATTTTAAAAAAATCTGTACTTACACAGTACAGATTTGAATTTGTAAGCATAGCTTGTTAGTGATGTGCAAAGCATACTGTTTACCAAAAAAAAAAGTAAATACACTTTATATGCATAAAGACAAACACAATCATTAAGTTAAAAAACTTGTTCCTCTTCTTGGCCTTTCTGCTTCACACTGCTGTTCTCTATTACTATGATCATGTCACATGACTGTAAACTTTGACTGCTGGGACTTGAACATGCCTGCAGAGGAAACTCCCCGTCCCCAGACTTTAAAAACTATATAGGGAGAGAAAATAGAACTCATTTAATAAAAAACAAACAAACAAACAAACAAAAAAACTTCCCATCTGACTAAGTGTTGCATGATCATTTAAGAGAGGGTTGTTGCCTGGTAGCAAGACTTTTAAGCCCTCAAAACAAATTTGAGTACACTGTACACTGTTACACTGTTAGTACAGTTATAATTTGCTATATTAACAGAGTTCCTATTCAGTTACTTTACTTTATCTCGGTGAAGTGATAATTATAAAATATGGATGTGTACCTCTAGATAATGGTCAGGAATTACCAGGCGGAGTGGTTGTAACAGCTGTTTGACCTTTTTGTGGTGCTTAAAAAGCATAAAAATGCAGACTCCACACATGGCCGTAAAAAGCAGTGTAGTTAATATAATAAACAGCAAATCACGGCTCTTTATCATTTCCACTACACAGGAAAAAAGAAATGAAAGAACAGGAGGCATTATGAATGATCAGTAAAACAAATTAAAGTATGTCAGCAAAATTCACAATGTATTGCAGCATGCAATTCATTTCAGTATCTGCTTAAAAGCTAACTAATTTCTGGTTGGGTTTAATCACAAACAATGTGAATCAAACTCTTGCAGTTTGTAATAAATAAGTGAATAAGACTTACGCGTTTCTGGGATGATTGCACAACTTTGGTTGCTAACATTTCCATAAGGCTTTTCATAGAAGAGATACTGAACCTGGAAACAGTAGTTTTGCCCTGATTCCAGTTCCAGTATTTGTTTCCTGCTATTTGTAATAATAAACTCTACCTGTAGGATCAAAAACTCTTATCAGCTTTACAATAGTCCTCTTTCAGAAATATAGTGAATGAATAAGTTTACGTGATTTTTTTTTGTGTGTGTTAAGGATGCAAGAGACCTTCGAGTATCCTCCATTATCCACTTTCCAGAATGATACATTAAATTGTATATTTTCTCCATGTTCTTTCTCCAAGCTCTCGTCCATATGTTCCAAAGTCACATAAGCCTTTTCAGGTTTTACAGACAGTTTCATCACAGGAACACAAGAGTTAGCTGTGGAACAGGATGAACAAAGAAATATATAACTATGTGAATATGTGCACTTGAGTTTATGTTACATATTAGAGGTGATAAAACATTTCAATTTAAAATGGATGGAACATATAACCACATAAAGCACTCCTTACCATTTACACACTGGACTTTCTTTGAATATTGCCATTCAGACATGTTGTTTCCTTTCTCTGCGCGTACTCGAAATACTGCTTCATAAAACTCGGGAGAGATTTTAAATCTTAACTCGGTCTCGTTATGGCTCATCACATTGTACCATTCATCGTCTGATTTGCTAAAATCAAAGTAACCATAGATAAGTTGTTAGTTTTTCTACTAAGGCCTCAGTCACCATCCAATTTCACTGTATGGAAAAAGGGCTAATGAAAGCGAACAGTGACTGTAATTCTGTCTAACTTCTCATTTTGTGCTTCAGTGTAGAAAGAACAACATGAGGGTGAATAAATGATGACAGAATTGTCTTTTTAGTTTAACTATCCCTTTAAAACAAAATGCTTACGAGCCATGTTTACACTGCAGTAAATACAGCACACTATCTTCATCCGGAGGCTTCTTCCACTGCAGATATGATCCGACTAACTTGACATCCTGAGGCGGATATAAGCAGAATGTCCCCTCTGAAATAAAACAGACAGGCGGTATTCTAGGTTATGGATATAAAAAGTAATCATACGCTCTTTTAAATATTACAGTTACTGCAATTCCACACATCATGTCTTTTGTGTCCTTACCGATGTTGATTAACAGCATCAAAACCGTCCCTACGCAAACGTGGCGGATCATTTCGACGATTTTTAATCCATATCTCTCACCGTGAAATCTGTGCGTTTCGTGAAAGCGACATTCAATGGCTTTCTTGAGGAAACACGCCAGTTCCTTTTACGATCAACAAAGTAAATGCTGCGTAGCGTGTGCAGTTATAATATACTCACACAATACAATTAAAACACAAAACTATATGTTAAACCCGCTAAAAATAAAAAAATAAAACGGTCACAGCACTGTTCTTACTATTTCTTTACGCATAATTCCCATTTGTAAGAGTTATATTACAGTCCGTCGATTCAGATCCTCTTTCCGCACACTCGTCATTATCCGGAAGTCTTGACTGTCGCAAAATATCGCGAGAATCGCATTTGCTGTTACTACGGATGGAGTAAAGATTACTATTTTGGACTCTAAACAAACACAACAAAAGGCGCCCTCTTCCCGAAATGCCCTTCGAGGCATAGGCGCAAAAACGCAGTTCGGGAATTACTCACAATAAATAAAATGTCATAATGAACTCTCGCGAGACTTTGCGACGGCCAAGCCATCATTTCTCGGCACTGGTCATTAGCCAAGAGCGAAACTACAATCACGTGTTACATTTTCTGGCCGATACAGTGCACTCTGTAATGGCGTTAAAACTCATCTTTTATATAGGAACTATTTGTCACTGCAGGTTGAAGGTTTCTACTGAAGGTTTATTTCCGTGTTTGTGTATACATATCCTATCATAGAGTGAACCACAAAATAGTTATTGCATACATGACCCACTTTTGGGGATAAGTTGTCACTGGAGTCTATAGGGCCTTTTAATTTATATTTAAACAGTACAACAATTTTGAAACATACAGCAATTCATTAAACAGACAAAAATATAAAACCATTGTAGCTATAATAAATAAAATTGTATACATTTAAAACACATATGTCATAACAACCATCATTAGACAACCATCATGATTCTTGGCAGAAAGCATTTTAGTAAGATTTAGACCTTGTGACAACTTCTCTAAAAAGAACATTATTTTGTGTATTTGGTGTAATTAAATGTGTTTATGCGGTTTAAGGTTCAAAAAACACATTATTTTCCACATACTGTACATCATTGTTTCTCCTCTATGCCCCGCCTTTCTGAAACGCGTCGATTTTTACAAAGCTCATCGGTCTGAAAAAGCGAGGTGTGCTCTGATTGGCCAGCTATCCAGTGTGTTGTGATTGGCCGAATACCTCAAGCGTGGGACGGAAATGTTACGCCCCTCACCATACTGTTGATGCCGTGTCCCGGCCTGAGCGACGAGACAAAAACATTTAAAAAATCATTATAAACAAGGCATTTGTTGCATCCGGTGGGGACATAATTACTGATTATAATGACTTATACTGTCTTTTTACGTGTTGCATTGCATCGCGCCGCGTAAACATAAAACAATGTCTGCATTTGTGATCGGAGAAACGACAAACAACAAGCGCTACTCTACACTGCTCAAAACTCGCGCTTGAATCGTCAGTGGCAAATCCTTTAAATATAAAAAACGTACTTACAGTCTGTGAGTCAGAACAGCCGGCATTGTAGTCTACTCTTCCAGGATCAGGAAACAGTCCTCCATAAAATGTGCTGCACACATTTGAATATTTGGGTTGAACTGTTCTGGAACAGTGTTGTAAATACAACTTAACCACTGATTTCTAGTCGTGTCCTCTTTTGGAAGACCAAACAACGAAACACACAGCATCTCCACAGCATGGCGGCGGCGGCAACAACAATACTACAGCGAGAATAAAAGTTAGCCTTCTTTCTTTGAACGAGCCGTTTTAGGTAGGAGTGGTTGACTCTTAACTTTTATAAAGAATATCTCTTTGGATTTGAGACTTTAGTCTTCTTTAGTCTTCTTTATGCACCAAGAGTTGTAACACTCCAAAGAGAAAGGAAAAATTGAAATCGCATCATATAACCCTTTTAAAAATGAAGTGATGTACTTGATTCTGGTATTAATTTAACTAACTTAATCCCAACTTGAAAATAAAAATCATACAACCTAGAGTAGAGTACAGTGCATCCGGAAAGTATTCACAGTGCTTCACTTTGTCCACATTTTGTTATGTTACAGCTTTATTCCAAAATTGATTAAATTAATTATTTTCCTCAAAATTCTACAAACTATACCACAAAATGACAACGTGAAAGAAGTTTGTTTGAAATCTTTGCAAGTTAAAAAACACACACACACACACACGTACATAAGTATTCACAGCCTTTGCTCAATACTTTGTTGAAGCACCTTTGGCACCAATTACAGCCTCAAGTCTTTTTGAGTATGATGCTACAAGCATGGCACACCTATTTTTGGGCAGTTTCTCCCATTCTTCTTTGCAAGACCTCTCAAGCTCCATCAGGTTGGATGGGGAGCGTCGGTGCACAGCCATTTTCAGATCTATCCAAAGATGTTCAATCGGGTTCAAGTCTGGGCTCTGGCTGGGCCACTCAAGGACATTCACAGAGTTGTCCCATAGCCACTCCTTTGTTATCTTAGCTGTGTGCTTAGGGTCATTGTCCTCTTGGAAGATGAACCTTCGCCCAAGTCTGAGGTCCAGAGCGCTCTGGAGCAGGTTTTCATCAAGGATGTCTCTGTGCATTGCTGCATTAATCTTTCCCTTGATCCTGACTAGTCTCCCAGTTCCAGCCGCTGAAAAACATGCCCACAGCATGATGCTGCCACCACCATGCTTCACTGTAGGGATGGTATTGGCCAGGTGATGAGCGGTGCCTGGTTTCGTCCAAACATGACGCTTGCCATTCAGGCCAAAGAGTTCAATCTTTGTTTCATCAAACCAGAGAATTTTGTTTCTCATGGTCTGAGAGTCCTTCAGGTGCCTTTTGGCAAACTCCAGGCGAGCTGTCATGTGCCTTTTACTGAGGAGTGGCTTCCATCTGGCCACTCTACCATACAGGCCTGATTGGTGGAGTGCTGCAGAGATGGTTGTTCTTCTGGAAGGTTCTCCTCTCTCCACAGAGAAACGCTGGAGCTCTGATCAGAGTGACCATCGGGTTCTTGGTCAAATCCCCGACTAAGGCCCTTCTCCCCTGATTGCTCAGTTTGGCCGGTGGTTCCAAACTTCTTCCATTTATGGATGATGGAGGCCACCATGTTCTCATTGGGACCTTCAATGCTGCAGAAATTTTTCTGTACCCTTCTCCAGATCTGTGCCTTGATACAATCCTGTCTCGGAGGTCTACAGACAACTCCTTGGATTTCATGGATTGGTTTGTGCTCTGACATGCACTGTTAACTGTGGGACCTTATATACAGTTGTGTGCCTTTCCAAATCATGTCCAATCAACTGAATTTAAAGTTGTAGAAACATCTCAAGGATGATCAGTGGAAACAGGTCTAAAGAACTGAATGAAGCAAGCACAAGTAGAGGTAACCAACTCTGTAATGATTGTCTTAAATGTTATGATTGGATTCCCCACCATGTGAACACACAAATTTCCTGTGTCGGTTTTATTGCTGTAATGTGTAAAAATCTAATTCACACTATCATATTGAAAAAAAAAAAGATATATTATTTAAATCAAAAGTTTTTAAAGTATGTATGCATCATGGTTAATTTATATTGATATTAATTTAAAAAACAAATTGTGTCTGTGCAGGATGAACCTCATTAATGTTTTACACAATTGTAAAAATATTGAGAATTACAAACTCAAAAATAATAAATCTGAATGCATTATGATAATGACAGTTGTGCTTTATTGTCATAAAAATTATGTCACATGCAATAAACCTTAATGGTCCTAAAATAAGCAATGTTGTCTTTATGCAAAATATAAACTGGGGTGAAACATGACCTGGACATATTTAAGTGAGCATTACATAAAATATACAGTGACTACATTAATTTTAGGACCCCTTTTAGATAGAATTATTATTTAAGAGTTTTCATACCATAGGTGGACAAACTGACGTGTGAACTGGAGAGAAGTCGAGAGCTGGGCCGTGTGATAGTTCATGTAGACATGGACGCCTTCTATGCTGCTGTCGAAATGAGAGACTGCCCGGAGCTGGAGGACAAACTGATGGCAGTGGGATCCATGAGCATGCTGGTGAGAATCTAAAATAAACCTTGCAGAACATCGTCACATACAGCGGGTATAGAAAAGAATCACCCCTTTAAAATAATCACATTTTGTTGCTTTGCAGCCTGAAATGAAGACGGACACAGTTTTTGTTTTATCCAGCTGGATTTACTCAGTGCAACTTATAACATCCAAGTGAAAGATATAACACCAACATGTCTGAAAAATAAATAAAAAAACAGAATCAAACAAAATGTGATAATTTTAAAGGGGGGTGATTCTTTTCTGTACCCACTGTATCTACAATGTTGACATTTTAAATTATCATTTTCAGTCAACCTCCAATTACCACGCTAGAAGGTTTGGTGTTCGTGCTGCCATGCCAGGGTTCATTGCGAAGAAGCTCTGTCCAAATCTTGTCATTGTGCCGACTAACTTTGACAAATACAGAGCAGTAAGTGCCCAGGTATGTTGTATATCAGTCCTACATTATTCAATAGTCATAGCTACTGTTTGTTAATGCCTGGGTCTGTCTTAAAGGTGCGAGAGATATTTTCAGAATATGACCCTCATTTCATGCCTATGAGTCTGGACGAGGCTTATCTGGATATCACTGAGCAGCGGAAGCACTGGCCCGAGACCATGCAAACATATTGCATCTGTGATAAGACAGGTGCATTACTGTAGTCTACTGTCTAGTGCAGGGGTTTTCAAGCTGGGGTCTGTAAAGGTGTGCTAGAGGGGTCCGTGCTGAGGAAAAGTTTAGAGATACACTGTGTATAATAAAAGTCTAAATAAATAATAATAGTTAATTTAAAGAAGGATTAAATAAATGAAAAGTGTATTTAAATAAATTAATAAATAATACATAAAGCTTACAAAGCATGAGCATTGAGAGGTAATCTGCTCAAAGTTGTTTTCAGTCTTCATCACATACATCAGATGCAAGCATTGTATTTAAATCAAGTAAGAAATAAATAAAATTAATCTTACAGTACTATAGGAAGTAGAAAAAAAGTCTAATTTATAATATTAATTTTTCACAGTATAAATTGGGTCTTTATACAAACATTTGTACATTTTAGGATGGGGGTCCCTCACACGAGGATGATAATATTTGGGGATCCATAGCGTCTAAATGATTAAAAATCCCCGGGCTAGTAGACTTTAAAAAGAGGTCCAATTTTTACTTTGTGAAAGCGTTGACAATTAAAGTGTGTCTTTTATTATGAGTGGTTACAGTAGCTTGATTTATGTTTTTTATCCTGTTCTTTAAAAGAAAATGATACAGACAAGTCTACAGCTGAATCAGAGAAAGATGAACTGTCTCCTGTGCTGTTTGAGGACAGTCCCAGCTCCTCGCCCTCTCTTTCAGGGTCTGATAGGAAAGCAGAGGTGTTTGGGACGAGTGCAGA